TTTGGCCCATAAATATTAATTCATTCCATTAGAGAATTAATATTGCACTCCCGTCCGATCCCGAAATGAATCAGGGCTTCTTTTAGACTCGATATAATTCCCCGTGTTTAAGATATCGCACGTCCATTAATTATTAAATCTTCTGACTGCTTTAATTAATTAATATCTTTTATTCCTTAAGTAGTACCACTCAACCTTATTATCGTACGGATAAAATCCACCTGCAGGATTTATACGATAATCCTTATGAGTTCCTTAAGGGGACGTCATCAACCTGGATGTCCAGGACACGGTGCCCTAATGCCAATAAATAGATATCATGCAGATAATGTTGTTACCCAAGATACAGAGCATATTAAACTAATACTTGGCTCTCACCCATGGTAAATCAAAGTAACAAACAAATATCTCATATATCTAAGTATCACAATTAGGGTTAAGAATTAGTAGAGTCACCGAGACCTAGGTTCTTCATGATAGTCAGAACAGAAGAACACGTCTCAACTGTGATCCATTCAATGCGACGCAGCGCACTAGTATAAACCAATAGCCAAGACAAGCTACATCTAGTTTATACTACAACCTACACCGATAGTCATGTCCGTAACTATCTCAGTTGTGAATACCATTTATATCTTATAAGGGACCGACAATGTAATCTTCTGTGTGACTACTAACACACCACATCGTCTACAATATAAGATAATTGGACATTTAGCATACAAGAAATCATAAAGAATGCAACAATGTGAAAACATTTATTTCAGTCAAATGGGAAATCGAATAAATACAATCCAAAAGCTCACATAAAAGTTTGCTTTACTGTATACCCCAACAATAAGCCTCGACCGAATAGGCTCCTCCAAGCCTTTCCCAATTCTGAACTTCCTCTCCTCACCCCCCTCGATCATTTGAATCTCCTTCACTTCTTCCCCCGGCTGAATATCCATCCTCTCCTTACCCTTCTTTATTTTCTGTTTATCCTCTTTCGACCTCGACCCACCTGGTCGATTAATCTCCTCCTCTTTTGGCTTGGCCTGCCTTCTCGCCAATTGCTTGTTATTGCTTACTGTTGTTTGATAGCAGCTCCTCGAAGTGAGC